TCTATTAATAAATATGTACCACGTACTTCACTGCCTCAGCCACCAGAGGTCGCAGAAGCAGCAGATGACATAATCTACCACGGAGTTGAGCGCCAGGAAGAAACACAAAGCAAAGCTAAGACATTAAGTAACTAATTAATTTTCTGAGAAGGCTTCCTGGTAGGAGACGGGGCGACAGGGAGCCTTGAAGAATGCTTAGCCCTTAGCTAAGCAGAAGGGACTATTTTAGGAAGGGAGAACAGTATGAATAAAAGCACTGAGCTGGACACACAACATTTTCCTGGGTGGAGTAGTGAGGAGAATGCAGAGATTAAATTGAAGTTTGCAAATATAACTGTTTCCTGATTTAATTTTTCCGGGAGTTCACTTCGAGGACTATAGCTAATAGCCTTATGTATTTATTTCTTGACTTGCTAGCTTTAAATATAATATGTTGACTCTTGGATGTAAAAGATGTTTTTGCTTATTTGTACCACACTCTTTTCCTATTCCCCTTAATATGTGTCCTAATAGTATTTACAGAGCTCTTATATTTGTAACTGTAAAGACTACCTGTGTTTATGGCTTATACAGTCCCCAAGAGATACAAAATATAACATTCAACGTTAAATAAACTCATGTGTTTGAACAGAAGGAGGAAAATATTTGAAAATGGTAAATTTAAATCCTGGGACAACAGAAAAAGAATTTATACAACTTGTGAAATAAGAAATAACATCTTTTTCTTCTTCAGGTTGAGCAAGTGAAATTACTTGACCGATTCAGTACCAGCAACAAAGCATTAACAGGAACATTGTATCTCACGGCCACACATCTGTTCTTTATAGACTCTCATCAGAGAGAAACCTGGGTAAGGGACCCTGCTGTACTGTTTACTGGAGTTACAGTAATGGACTTGAACTATTGCTGTGTTTTATTTTAAATATGTACAGTTTTAGTCATTGGTTAATGTTGCAACCAAAAATTTTTCAGTCACCCAATCACTTCTACCCTCCCTAATAAAACAGTGATACAGGGATATGGGATTCTTTTGTAGGACACCGGAGACTATCGAATAAATAACTACAGAATACATACTTTTTCCTTTTAATTTTTAAAAATCTAAATGATATATGTGCATATTAACAGATTAACCAGCGTATTCCACAGAATTTTTATACTAGATTACAATTAGAGTGTTTTTTTTTCTGCTAGTACAGACAATTCAGTAATGGGTAGTTGGCCTTTGTTTCTTCCTGTGTATGTGCCAGAGTTTCTCTGAGGTATTTGCCTGGGAATAAAATTACTCAATCTTAGATAAGTGCATATTCAACGTTGCTAAGTATATATCATGTCTCTAAAATACTTATTTCAGAATATTCTCAGGAGAGTGTGATACAGTGTTCTCCACCCCCAGTAATACTGATATTGTCAACTTTAAAATTTTTGCTTATCTGATGGATGTGCAGCTATGATTTTAATTAGCTTATTCCAAGGAAATCAGCCTTTCAGATATTTTTGCCTTTAGATTTCCTTTGTTATTTTATTGGGTTGTTTGTCCTTTTACTGATTTTATATGAGTTCTGGTTTTTAATGTTTTATCAGGTGTATGTGTTGTAGATGACTTCTCCCAGTGTGTGGCTTGTCTTGTGTATATGTATTTTAATTAAAGTTTAAAATTTTATTGCAGTAGATTTTTATTTTTTCTGTTATGGTTTATGTTATTTTGTGACTTGTTTAAGGAATCCTAGGATCATAAAGATTGTTTTGTATTTTCTTTGAAATCTTACATATTTTCTATTATAAGTTGCTAATAAATCTGGGATATATTTTACTGGATATATGACATAGGGATTCATCTTTATTTTTTTTTCATATGGATAACTGGCACCATTTACTGATAGTTTCATTCTATTAATGTCTAATATCAACTGTCATAAATAAACTGAGGGTCTTTTGAGTTCCGTGTTCTTTGGTGTATTGATTACACTGTACCAACAGCATACTGTTTTACTGACTATAGCTTCATATTAAGTCTTCATATCTCTCTTTGTTCTCTTTTGATTTCCCCAGGAAGGCCATCCAATTGATAAGAGATTGTAATAAGTAAGTTAAGATACTTACTGGGTAATTGATCTTGGGGAACGTGTTTTCTCTAGAGGCACTGGTCTCTTCCCCATCCATTGTTTGCCCAGGAACTGCCAGAAGTTTCACCTCGCAGGGCCTTGCACAGTCGTTAGTCATATTATCATCCACATTGTCTGCTCTTCCTTCGTCTGCTTGCCTTACTGTCTTCTCTGTATGCTGTCCGTCCTAGAGATACAAACAAAAGTGTCCCATATGGCTATTCCTTTAGATGTTGGGATTGTAGTTTTGGGGGCAGCTAAAAGATATCTGTTGTTCTTGTCTCTTCTGTTGTCTTGCCTTATTAGTATAGTCCTGTGTGTCTCCCCTGAATTAAGTCTGTTTAGTATACTAGATCCATAAGAATGAACATTTTAGGTCTGAAAGGGCCCTTACTTTTTAATCTTTTTTTCTCATTTTACAGGTGATTATTTTTTCAGGATCACATAACCAGTTAGTGATAGAGCCAGGTCCCTTCATCCTCTTACTGAAGATCATTCTGGGTGTTAATTGGGATCATAACAGTGATAAAATATTATAGTAGCTTACTTTCTCTTAGTCTCTATTTAGATCATTTTGAGTGACTTGGCACAGGCCTACTAATATCATTGTTAATCGTGCTAACACTGTAATATTGCTAACACATAACTATGGGCTATATATGTGTACTGTGTGTTAAATTGTTTATATTTTATATACTCTTAATTTCCCCAGGACAAGTTCTTCTCTCTCTCTCAGTCCTCTTTTTTCAAGCTTTTCTTGATTATTTTATGTATTTAATTGCACATGTGAACTTTAGATTTAATATAATTAATATAACAATAATATTAACATATAATGATTTTATATGATACAAATAACCATCTGTCTCTCACCTTGCCACAAAAAAACCCACAAAAACAAAAATAGTTGGAATTTTTTACTGGAATTTATGTTAAATTTTTAGATTAATTCAGGATGAATTTATTTCTTGCATTGATTGACTTATTCAGTAACCTGTTATGACTAAGATCCTTTATTTTACAGAAAAGTTTTCGATAAGTATTTTAAATTAGTAGGAATGGTATTGAGAAAAGGAAAGCTTTTTAGTAGCAAACAGAATATTATAGATAACAGGTGAGAATGATAATCGTATATTCAAGATAGCATCAAGTATTGAGTTTATTGTAGGACTTTGTGTTCATTCGGTAAACATTTGTTGCGATGGGGTATCAGCAGTAACAGCTATTTCTGGCTTGGTCAAAGTTTAAGTTTGATGAGTAATATATAACATTTGAAAATATTTTTTATTTGAAGAGGGTCATTATAATGCCTCAGGTACTGTGTTAGGTGCTGGAGATATAATAGTGTTCTGCTTAGCTACAGTATTATTCCTTATGAAGTTCCCAAAATCTAGTTGGAGAAATAGACATTCACTGTAGAACAAATTGTTTGTGTACTATGTGCTACAAAGGAAAAGTATTGGTTGATACGAGATAAGAAAATGGAGGGGACCTAACTTATTGGGAAAGGCCACGGGGGTTGTCAGGTTGTAATTTTGAGCTGGATTATCAAAGATACTTTATTTAGCCTAGAAGTAATTAGAAATAATACTTCTTGGTGCTTAGTTTTAAGCAAAGGCCAAAAATGATACTAGGCATTCCTAGGGGAAGAGGTGGAGCTACAATATCCCAGTTGGTAGGAGCAACTCAGAGTATGTAAAGGAGCTTGGCACATTTGAGGAGTCAGAGAAGGCTGTTGCCACTAGAGCTTAGTGATGTGGCCAGGGACTTGGAATGAGGCTGTAGAGGTGGGAAATAACTTGACTAGATTGCCTTTTTTTAATTGCGTTCTCCTACCTTGTAGAAAATAGAGGGGGTCAAGAGTAGATATAGAGAGAGCATTTAGGAGGCTATTTGGTTATTTAGGTGAGAAGCAATGGCAGCATTGCAACTAGGAGAGTGACAGTAGAGATAGAGAGAGGTAGGTTACAGAGATATTTAGGAGCAGCAGCTCTTGGGGTTTGATGATGTATTGCATATGTAGAATGATGAGACTGATGGAGGAAGTATCAGCATATATCTGGCTTGGGCATTCATTTATTTAAAAATTCTGAGTTTGAGTATATAGTGTGTAACATTTGAGACTTTATATGAAGAGGGCATTTCTAACATTGATGCACTCCGAAGAGAATAATGTATTTAGTGCTTTTTTGTGATGATGATCAAATGTCTTTTTCATGCTGTAGATATTACACCACCACATTGCCTCAGTAGAGAAACTGGCCTTGACTACTTCTGGATGCCCACTTGTGATTCAGTGCAAAAACTTCAGGATTGTGCATTTCATTGTTCCCAGAGAAAGAGATTGTCATGATATTTACAATTCTTTGCTACAACTGTCAAAACAAGGTACTATTCCTAGACACCAAAGTTTACTTGCTCAGTTTGAGATGTATTATTGAAGATACTTTATTTGTTCTGGAAATAATTAGAATTCTGACCTGAATTGTAAGAATGGTTTCTAAAGAAAGGGCAACAGTAAGGAAAAAGCAAAGCATTTATAGTATAGGACTTAAAAACCATAGATTTATGTTAGTGTTTGTAAAGTTTGCTGATAGCCAGCAGCACACCTTTTTTTGAAAGTGGGTAACCCACACCCAAAGAGACTGACTTGGAAATTGATTACTAAACAGAAAGTTAAAGAAGGTCAAGCTCCCATGGAAGCAGTGTAACTAATATATTTAATTGACTAGAGTGGCACATAAGGGAGTTGAGCAGAGGGAGAGTGTGAACCCTATTTTGGTCAAGGGAGACATGGAGATACGGAAGCTTCACTTCCCCCAGCATGACTTGAGTTATGTAGATCTCTCCAGGGAGACAAAGCACATAGTTACTGAATGCTAATTTCTTGTTGAACACCTGTTTCAGTGGTTAGGCGTGGGTCTGTATTCACTCTTCTTACCTAACACTTAACACCTGTAACATTTATCCCTTTTGTCCCAAGTTAAGCCAGAACTTACAGTAAAGATGTTTCTGAGACTTCAGGGCTCTCTCTTATTCAGAAGTAAGAGCATTCTGGAGCTCTGGGCAACCATTGCTGTTTTTGGTCAACACCATCTATAGGAATGTATGTACAAATTCCTGTTTATGTGTTACCTCTACTTTTTCATTTTAGCATTAGTCTTTCTGTTTTAATCTCTTTTGGGAAAATTGTGGGTGGGAAGTGTCCATTTGTGTCCTTAAAATTTTACTTTTAAGAAAAGGAAATATTGCCATAGAGAATTTAATGTGTAAGTCCAACTATTATTTCCTAGCTTTTACTGATGATATAAATTGAATCTCAGATTGGTAGGTGTGTCTTTAGATATAGTCAAAGAACCAAGAAAATAAATATGTTCAAGTATTAGCCATCTCTTGGAAATTAAGAAAAATGGGAGGGATAAAACTAAAAAACTACTTCTATTTGTAATGTATTAAGTTCTGTAAATTATACTTCAGCATTTATGTATTTTGTTTACTATAGCAAAATATGAAGATCTCTACGCGTTCTCTTACAATCCCAAACAAAATGACTCAGAACGACTGCGAGGTTGGCAACTCATTGACCTTGGTGAAGAATATAAGAGGATGGGAGTGGCAAATTCAAACTGGCAGTTATCTGATGCCAATCGAGAGTACAAGGTAACTAGCAATCTCTTAGAGAAATTCAGAAAATATTAGTACCAGAAAGTGAGAACGTGTCATAGTAACAAGTTGTCTATGTATTGCTGTTTATTGTTCTTGCATTTAATAAGTTTTAAAGGTTTTTAAAGGTGGTTTTTAACTTCGTGGGTTATGAACTATTGAATAGAATGATTATGTTTTATTTGACTTTTACAGATTTGTGAAACTTACCCCAGAGAACTTTATGTTCCCCGAATAGCAAGCAAACCAATCATTGTTGGTAGCTCCAAGTTCCGGAGCAAAGGCAGATTCCCAGTTCTTTCCTACTATCATAAAAATAAGGAGGTAGGAAACTTTTCTTTTGTTAATTTTACAAATGTGGTATAACTTCTCTTCAAGTGTATCCAAAAGAATCCTCATGTTTACATTAAGAGGTCATTAAAATGTTGCTGGTAGAGCAATGCTGGCTTTTCATTTAATTACATTTTTGAAATTTTAAAACTGTATTACCCTGAAATATAGAAACTTTCATACTTGTCATCTTTCTTTTTACCCCCCTCAGCCACCTGCCTTCATTCATTTCTTCTTTCTAGTGGTGACTTGAAAATTATGGGAAACTTTCCTGTGGTTCTCTTGATCTTGCTTGTATTTGGGAAAACCAAGTAGTTTTGACAAGCTAACTGTTGAGAAAAGAGAGCGACCCAAGGGTATTTTAGGCTCCCGTTTCAATAGCAGGCTCCCAGATCATACGGATTTTGCAATATGAAGTAGGAGAGGCATCTTTATATGATGCTGTAGTAGGGATTGCTCATTATAGTAAAATTTACCTTTGAGGCCTGGGGGTACTATAGGTTAGATGCTTTATATGCATGAAACAGTCATAAGATATTATAAAGTAGACTGCTAATTACCTGTAACTTTCAAATGGTGAAATTGTAGTTCAGAGAGGATAAATCACTGTTGTATCTCACAGCTAGTAGGTTGAGGAGGTCGATGCCATTGCTGACTCCCAATTCTTTGTGACCTGGCATTTTTCTTTGGGAAGCTCTCTTTTCCCTAGTGTTCTGAAATTTCACAGTGATGTGCCTGTTTGGAAACTCAGGTCTAAGTTGCAGGAAGTTGCTTCTCTATTTCTTTGGTAACTTAGTCTCTTCTGTTTTCTTTGTGCTGTTGTGTGTGTGTTAGTTAACAAGAGGACTTCCTTGCAAAACCTCCATTTTAATTTTACCTATTTTCCATCTCTATTTTCTGGAAGATTTCCTCAACTGTGTCTCCAATCCATGTCCTGGATCCTATATTTTGCAATAGTGTTCAAATCCAAGAACTTTACTATTTTCTGAACTTCTTAGGCAGTTTTCTGGTCTTAGATGTGATGACTTAGTTCTCTGAAGATGTTAAGGACTTTTAAAAAGACTTATTGTGCTCCCCACAATTAGTTACCTGTTTGCTTAGAGTTCCTTCTTTTTGTCTATTTTTTTGTTTTTTTTCTTTCAAATATCTGATATATAAATAACTAAGTGAGGTACTACAGAGCTGTTTAGAAGTGTGTTTGTATGCACGACTGATCTCTATCTTTGGATTCTTTTGGTTTTGATTTCCATCCTAATGTGTGTGAGAGGACAGATGGGAAGACCTCACCTTTTGTTATATAGGCTTTACTTAAGCCTCTTGTTTTCCACGGGTAAGAGCTTCGTTTCCACCCACAGCTGTGCCTGTTGTCCAGCGTCTTCGGGTTAATCCTCCCCATAGAGTAAATGTGATGTTCCGGGGGAGGGAGGTTCCGGGAGCCTGAACTAGTCCTTACAGACATCCAGCCAGGTCTCCTGTTTTCAGTTATATCCCAGCTCCTCTCCTCTCCTCTCTTCCCTTTCTTTCTTTTCAAGTTTAAAACAAGTTTTAAAAACAAACTTTTAAAAACAAGTTTACTTTTTGAGCAGAAGTTTAAAAAAACAGAAGTTCCTAATCTGTTCTTCATAACAAACTCAGAGGGAGTTATGACTGGTTATGACTTCTGTTTGACACACTCATGTTTATATATATTTTTCTTGAAAGCTGGGCTGAAACTAGATATTTATCGCTCAACTTAAGAAAGTACATCTGAAAAGAATTTATAAGATAATCCTCATTTTCTTCTGTTTTATTCCATTTTTATGGTTTTACTTTGTGTTGAGTTTTGAAAGTACGAATATATGAATTTATATGCACTTTTTTCCCTTATGATACTGTATTGGAATGCTTGAAAAGGGTGAAGTTGGATTTGGTATGGATGAGATTGCAGAAAAAATACATGGGTCTAAATCTTTTCAACTTTTTTAAAAGAATGAACAGTGGTAAATAGCTGACATTCACTAATTTCTGTAGGTATTTTTACCTTCTTAGATTGACTATAGATTAATCCAAATTTGAATTGAAGTTCATTTTTCTCATTTTATGTCTCAATGTAAAGACTGCCGATTTCTAATTAGATCTGAAAACCTTTGGAAAGTAAAAGTTGAAATGTCACTATTTGAAAAAATCCTGTTCTCCATTTATGAATAATCTCTTGAAAGTATCTTCTAATCTAAGGCACAGAATTACAAGTATCTTGGTAGGTTACATGATAGAGAATTAACCAAGTGTTGCTTCTTAGGACTGAAGATTTTTTCATCAGACTAGGTAAGGAGACCTTTAGGTTTCTTAAGTAGAAGAGAATATTGGAAAAACTTAAGCGACATCTAGATATTAAAATCATGTTAAATTCAAATAGGACTTCAAAATTAATGCCTTCTACTTTTAAACAGATTGCATACTTGATTTTAACTTTTTTTCTTTTAAGCATTTTGTTGAGACATGTTTTAGAGATCTTTGGATAATCTGTTTTGTCTCTTTTTAAAATTAGGCTGCCATTTGTCGATGTAGTCAACCTCTGTCAGGATTCAGTGCCAGGTGCCTGGAAGATGAACATTTGCTTGAGTCCATTAGTAAAGCCAACCCAGTTAATCACTATATGTATGTCATGGATACCAGGCCCAAAGTATGTATCTTGAATACAGTACATTTTGTTAGTTTAATTATCTTTGTTGTTTTAATTAATAGGAGTTGATCAATTTGTCCATATTTAACATACCTGAATTGTAGTTTTAAGTTAACTGAGGCTAATGATACTGAGGAAATCAATCTTTTAAGGAATACCAACTTAGGAGACCAATTTACCAGCAACCCAAGATGGTGATTTCTTATGTCTTCTGCTGTATGTTGGAATTTTTAATTGGCAGAATACTTTTAAAATAATGAATTTAACATATTAAAAAAACAAGGAAAATAGTTAACTTAGAATACACTGAACTAAAGAGATACAAGTAGTGAATAGTGAGCAGAAAATAATCGTTCTCTTAGGCACCTATAATGTAAGGTTAAGTTTTTATCATTGGCACAAATGTCAAAATCCTCCCCTTTTTTTTTCAAAAACACAGTGAAACAGCCAATCATATAGCGTCCTGAAACTAAAGTAAGTAATCCTCAATGGTAATAGCTAACATTACTTTTAACTTTTATTATAGCATCACATGCAGAGCTGGTGGCCTACACAAAAGGACATTGGCAGAATTATAATGAGGATTTCTTCAAAGATCTGGAATGATGAGAAAATAAGAGAAAGCGATGAGAAAAAGCGAGTGAGCGATAACACAATTTCAGGCAGCTTTGTTGAAAGGAATGGTAGCTGTTTTAGAACTAATTCTCATCGTTACACAGTCTCAGAATATAAGGGAGAGAACAGAAGATATGATTAATTTGAGTAAATTAAGAAGTATTAAAAATTAGAAATTGATAATTTGATAATTTATTTTGTTAAAAAGAAAAGACCTCTTTAGAAGTCAACTATTGGTTGTTATCTCTTGTAAGAAAAGTTTTTTTTGTATGATTTGGATGGATTAATTAGTTTGAACAATATTTAGGTAATATTAGGTACAAAAGATGATTGTAGTGTAAGACTTGATGAATATGAGGTCTGAGGGTGATTTGTTTCTCTAATTATCTTATTTGTATAATTGACTTCCACACAGACAATATATCTTGATTGTTTTGTTATATAACTTATATTTAACTCAAGTTTTACTAGTTAAACTCAAGGATTAATAATGTGGAAGTATTTTAGTATTGAACTCTTAGTAGATACAGCCTAACTGTACTTGTTACTGACCTGGGCCCTGATTTGGATGAAAAGCTACTTTTTCTTCCAACTTAGGTTCTGTTTCACTCAAATTCATAAGAATATTTAGTAAATTATAATAATCTGCCATATGAAATTCTAATCAGAAAGAATTAAACATGCCAAATCTTAAGCAAACTTCTGATAGCATTTGATCTAATAACCAAAGACCGTGAGCCTACAGGCAGCCTGTTTTCTCCTTAGAGACCAGCTTACTTTTGGCCCAGTTCTTGGAGGTGTATCAGGCCAGGGGATTACATGCTGTGTCACATACTGTGTCAGCTTCTAGTAATCTTTATGATGGAAGACCTCAAATAATCTGATAGGTATTTGAGACCTGATTTTCAGGGTTCCTGTGGCTTTCTGAATGATCAAGTGCTCCAGGCTTGTTCTGAAGCTAATTCATTCTGTAAAAAGGAAAATTCCCCACCTCCACTCATCTCCGAATAATTTAGGATTAGATAGGAAATATTGCTTTATTTTTTTGTATTTTAAAGTATTGCAAATGTATAGAAAACTGACTAAAACATAAGTGAATTAGTTTCATGAATTATTTGTGGGGGACTTCTTGTTTGACCTTTCTGTTATGTAACAATCACGTTTTTACTCTGGTATCCTTTACTGTTAATAACATGAAATTTTTATTCACTGAAAAATGGTAGCATATTCACTTTTGATGAGTTTCTTTTTAAGTTCTGTTAGCTAAAATGTAGTTTATTTCTGTGTTTTCTTGGTGTTTTGGTAAATTAAGTTAAAAGATAAGAGCAATTTGTCTCTAAATTTCTAAAATTTAAAATTTTAGCTGAACGCAATGGCCAACAGAGCAGCTGGGAAAGGTTATGAAAATGAAGACAACTATTCTAATATTAGATTTCAGTTTGTTGGAATTGAAAATATTCATGTCATGCGGTCCAGCCTTCAGAAATTATTAGAAGGTATGATTATTGCTTATTCTTCTAGGCCACTTTGCCTAATAGAAATATAATGCTAGCATATTATAAAGTTTTAAATTATGTAGTTTAAAATTTTCTAGTTGTCACATTCAAAAAAGTAAAATAGTTGAAATTAATTTTAATAAAAAATACCTATTTAATCTATTAACATTGTTAGATTAATCAGTATAAAAATTAGTAATGATATATTTTGTTTTTTCCTGTAAGTCTTAGAAATTGACTAGTGTGTATTTTACATTTACAGCCCATATTTCAAGTATTCATCAGCCATATTTAGGTAGTGGTACTGCATTGGACAGTACAATTCTAGTAGTTCTATAAAAAATTGCTGTTGTTAGATTCTTGATTAGGCAGTGTGGTGAAGATTAATTTATAATAATATTCCATTTAAATATTAAGGTGCCTTTCCAGTCATGGTGTAAAATTTTAAAAATTAAAATCGACTATTTTTAGTTGAACATTTATTTGTGCTGCAGAATTTTTAAGAAAGGAGATTGGAGCTTTTTTTTTTAAACATAAGAAATGACAGGAAAATGTACCAGAAAATGCATTATTGATCTTCTAATAGCACCTTTTCAGTTATAAAGAGTCTTGCCTATTTATTTTGTCCTCTTCTCTTCTTCCCCAACTCACTCACCTAAAATACCTTGACTAGGAGAAGTGGAGCCTCTAAGCCCTGTTTTAACTAAAATGTTTTTTCCTCTTTTTTAGTCAATGGTACCAAAGGGCTTTCTGTCAATGATTTCTATTCTGGCTTGGAGAGCTCAGGATGGCTTCGCCATATCAAAGCCATCATGGATGCTGCGATCTTCTTAGCCAAAGTAACTCTTCGTTGCCCAGATTTGGTTTTGGGGTTTATAAGGGTTGGGAAGGAATGGATTTATTCTGTTGGGTGCTGGTTTCTTTTCTAGTCAGATAACTCTTGCTCTCTGATGAGGTTCACTTTAATTTGAGCTTTAAAAATACCATGTAGCACTTAATGTAGGGACTTCAAAAGAAATTCCCAAACACTTAGAAGCAGCATTGTTGTCTTTGTTTTTTGTTTGTTTGCTTGGTGTTTTTGTTGTGTTTTGTCTTGTTTTTCTGGAAATTATGCTGTGAGAGCATTATCACTGTGGTCCTAGCTCTTCTTTATAATGCAATACTTGGCTAGTAATGCTTTTGAGTCAGTAGAGAAGTTACTGGTTTTTTTAAAGTGTCTTCTGCTAGAATCTAAGTGTGTGATCTTTCTTTCCAGGCAATAGTGGTTGAAAGTGCAAGTGTGTTGGTGCATTGTTCTGATGGCTGGGACAGGACTTCCCAGGTTTGCTCCCTTGGGTCTCTCTTACTGGATTCCTACTACAGGACAGTCAAAGGGTTCATGGTAAGGAGTTACTTGGCTAGACCAACGGTACTCAAATAGGAATGATTTTGTCCCCCCAGGAAACATTTGATAATATTAGGAGACAGTTTTGATTTTATATCTAAAGGAAGGGGGACAACTGACATTTAGCTGCTAGAGGCTCATCATGCTGTTAAATTTCCTGTCAAGCTTGGAACAGCCCCTACAACAGAGGGGTATCTGCCCAAAATGTCAGTGGTCCTGAGGCTGAGAAACCTTGAGTTAGACTAATTTCCATTTGTGCCACCTCTTTGGCAAAAAGTTGTAGATTTAAAAGTCTTTTTTCTTGATGTTGCAGTATCAGTATTTTCTTCCTCATTTTTATCTAGCAACTGTAAGTTATACAGTAAAAGCAAGGCATAAGTAAGAATACTTAAAAGTATACTCTAGAGGAAACTTTCTATTTAAAACTCCTTCATTTGTTGATTGTAATTACATGTTGGGTAGCATGTTTTATGTCTACAGATTAAATTTCTGGCTGAGTAGATTTTCTGCTTTTTGATGCTAAAGCCTTGGATGCTGTTTTCTAATTTACATTTTAACTCTTGGTAAGTAAAGTAAATAAAGAGATGGTAGAGAGTATTCATTAGTTTAGAATTATTAAAATGTAGTGCCATCTTAAATCAAGGAAAGGTTTAACATCACCAGGTCCCTTTCAACACCATTATTTTGTGGTGCAAGCATACTGAATCTGGGACAGGCCAGTGAAAGTGCTGGTAATATGTTCAGCTTACCTTGAAGAGTGTTAAGGTAAGGAGTATTTTGTTTGCCTGCTTTAAATATTTTAATATTTAAGGACTATTTTAAATATTTAAATATTTTAAAGGTAAATAATATTTGGCTTTAACTCTTTGCTAGACATCCAAATGAAATCATGTAATAAGTGATCAGGGATACTGATCAGAGCTTCCCAGGCAAATAGAACAATGAGAACTACAGCATAGCTCCTTTAGGTGACTGCAGGTGAAGTGTGACGGACGGAATTCAGGGTGAGTGTTAAGAGTTGAGGGGCTTGGGTACAGAAGATAGAAGGGCGTGAGGGCCTGAGGCAGAGTAGACTACAATTTGGACTTCACTGTCTTTGGGTAGGGAGAGCCATGAATGGGCTCCAAACAGAGGAAACAGTAACTTTCTTAGATCTACTTTTTAAAAAAAAGATGGTTTGCAATCTTGAAGGCAGAGGGGAAGTGGGACTAGAGGCCAGGAGACCAGTATAGAAACTGTTAGGGTAACTCCAGAGAAAAAGAGGGCCAGCACTGAGGCAGTACATATGAGTGGAGGAGTCAGTACGAACTCACTAATTGGAGGTGGAGTGACAGAGAGGAGTCCTGTTCTAGGGCGATTTCCAGGCTCTGGACTCGGTTGCCAGGATAGATGGTGCTGTTCACTGAGATAAGCAAAATAATTAAGTTTAGTGAGAAAGTCAGTTAAGTTTTAGATTTGGGTGTGTAGAAGAATGGCAGAGAGGCTGCAGTCATACCAGAGGCTCCAGCTTGGAGATCACATGTACAAGGTTACACAGGTGTGGAACTGGTGAAGCTAGGGTTTGAACCTATGCAGTGTGACTCCAGAAACTGCATCTTACCCATCATGTGGTAGAGCCTCCTGGAGAGATTAAGACAAAAGAGAAGCTGGAAATGGCAGTTTTGACACTGAAAAGAATGTGTTGATGATTATACAGTCAAATTATAAGGTATATCAAATACTGACAAAAATATATTTACATTAGACTGAAAAAAATTAGAAGCCTGTTCAGCAGAGTTGTGAGAGAGAAAACAGATATAGTCCATTCAAGAGATTAGATATCAACATTTGAATTTGAAGATAAACTTCTCATTGGTCTCTTTATCAACCTCAGTCTATCATCCACAATTAACCACTGCTGACATTTTGACTTACATGTTCCTAGCCTTTTTTTTTTTTTTTTTTTT